TTCACTTGTATAGTATATTATAATAATTTAATTTCGAGTTTTTTTTTTACTTATCGGTGACTTGTTTCTGTTTCTTTCTTGATGTTGTGTTCTTACTAATGATATCCGATAATAAATCATAAAAATCATAAAATCATAATTATAATAATTCTGAAGTGACATCTAAAATTTCAAAAATGTACTACAAGTCTTCGCTTCGTAGAGCGCTATGAGCTGTTGAACCATAGTAATAGGGCGTAAAAAGGATTTGAGACCAGTTGTCACAAACCAACTCCGCCCACTTTTTCCAGACCCCTCGTTGAGACCTGCAACGCGCTGTTGACCCTGGGCGTAAGTGTAGAGGGAGGGGACATAGCGACACAATTAATTCATTCCAGCAATCCTAATACCATTTTTGGCGGGGAGGGGGAAACTCCAGGATGGGTGAACCATTTTTGTTTTTCTAGGAGGGAACTAATGGTAAGGGAATTAAGTGAGTAGTAGAAGAATCAAAATCTTTCCACGTTTTGAAACCCCCTGAGTGCTCTGCGTCACGATTTTTCTCAGTTTCCCCCTGCCTACACTTGAGCCGTAATTAATATTAGGGCTTTTATTGGTGTCAGGTTATTTTGGTGATCAATTTAATGGAAGTCTGAAAGGTTTTCTGCATGAGATTTTAATGAATCAATAATTACGATTGGTGGGTGTGACTATAAATTGCTAGAGCAGAGATTATTGATATTGTTATCGATCTAACAGTTTTTTATAGTTTCTATTCAGATAGGTATTGCTTTTAAAGTACTTAAATATGCGATAAAATGTGATGGAAGTCAATGCCAAGAGTTCCAAGGATGCCCGATTGAAAGAAGTGAAGACTATTCGGTTTTACTCCTAATGCGACCCATTTGACCGAGCAAATGACAAATGATATGACCTATCATCCTCTATAATGATAAGCGCTTATCAGAAGGATAGGACCCGCCAGTTGAAAAAGAGAATCGGCGCGATCGTGCGTGCCTGACCTTTGTTTAATTTTCTCATTTTCTTCTGAAAATTTCTTTTTCTCCTTTTCTTCAAGATCAAAGAGTTTGTATGGAATCAAAACTTTAATTGCTTGCCTAACAGTCTGCATTTTGCTAACATCGGGAGCTTAATGAGAGATTATACAAAATTGAGGTGTTGGAGGTTTTTGATAAGAATCAAGATTTCTACGTTGGACAGGGAGAATGATGGGAAGATTGACATCTTCATGGAAAATACTCGATTCGTTGATTTTCTTTCTTTAGGAAGCGCAGTCTTGAAAAGATGGCCCAAATAACAAGGCAGATAATTCACACTGCCAATGCTCCCGCTGCTGTGGGACCGTACAGGTGAGTAAATAGAACTGTACGACTTTATTTATACTTTACGAGCTCGTAGCTAGCTGGCTATATACACCAATATCAATTGCCAGACGATTGTTGCTCAGTCCACTGAGCGCTGACGCGAATTCTGTGTCTTCTGCCGGATCCAGTCTCCAACTGGGCACAATGGTTAGAAGGCAAGAATCAGGATTAAATTGATGGGGTGATTCCACTCAAATGTGAAAGTAGGGGTGGGAGGTGGACCGCCAGTGGAGAAAAAGGAAAGAAAATCCTGAAATACACAGGAAATACGAGCATTTTGCTCCATGCTGTGGAGAAGTTCAAAAGACAGGCAGGGAGATGAGAGATAATGTGAGCGCGGAGAGTGGTAGAGAAGTCCGAGAAGAGAGAGCATAGCAGATCAACGTGGCGACGCAGACAAGATATCGAACGGTGGGCGGACCATGTTAAGTTTGGTGGAGTCTGTTAGAAGTCCATGGCGCCTAGGGTCCTAGTGACGCGTTTCGATGTAGTTTACCTTCGTA